CAAAAATAGCAAGTTGTGTTGGTATTCCTTTAGCGGTGGACGCTCTCACGGCCGCTAAGACAAGACTCACATTTGCTCGGGTTTGTGTTCAGGTTTCATGCTCTAAACCTCTCCCTGACGAAATTTTTATTTCAGTGGATGGAAAAATTTTGCCCCTTTCAGTTCTTTATGACTGGAAACCATCACCTTGCACTTTCTGCTCCTCTATTTATCATAATCCTAACCAATGTCCTAAAAATCCCAATCCCCAACCCCCTCCGATCCCTACCCAACTAGAGGGTGTAGCACTAGCCGCAATCCCAGGAAATCTCAACCACCTCCTATAGCCATTCTTAAAAAACAACCGATTCTTCCACCTTCTACAGCTCACACGAATCCTATCCTCCCTAACCCAGAATCTCGTATTACTCTGCAGATTCCTAACCTTAACTCACCTCCAGGAGATGCTATACAGGCCGACATTCCTTCCTCTGCAATCACCCACCCTCCTTCGGAGATACCTCCTCCTGCCAACCTTCCCACTACCAATAAGTTTGATCTTCTTTCTGATCAAACGGATGATTCCCCTGCTACTGATCACACCAACTTGTCTAACCTTGAAACCCAGACCACTCCCCCTTCACAGCAGATTGCTGTCACTGTTTCTTCCCCAATTGACTCCTTGGGGATTCAACCTCCTCAGATTCCTTTTAAGATTTCTTCTTCTCCGGCTTCTGAGAACAGCCCCTCTTCCTCAAATTCCAGTTTTACAGCTGGATCTGCCAAAGATGTCCCCACCCCAAAGAATACCATAAGTAAGAATGCCAAAAAGGGTGGCAACTCCAAATCTAAGCATAAATGAACTACCCTCGCTTTGCCTCGTGGAATATTAGGGGATTTAATAATCCTTCTAAAGTTTTGTCTTGCAAGTCTTTGGTTTCTAAATTTAATTTAGATATGTTGTTTATTCTGGAAGCGAAGGTTACTGCTTTTTCAGTCACTGATGACTGGTTCAACTCTACCCATTCCGTCTTTACTACTGAAGGTTCTTACAACAATTTTTCTTATTCAAATCCGGGTCGTATTTGGATTAAGTGGAATGCTCAAAAAATCTCTTTCACTCCTTTATTTACTTCTAGTCAGGCTATTCATGGTGTTGTTAATGATGGTTTTTCTGATGTCTGCTGTCTTACTGTCATCTATGCTTCTAACTCTGTTGAAGAGAGGAAAATTCTTTGGAATGATGTAACCAATCTGAGCAATTCTACTACTCTGCCGTGGGCTATCTTTGGTGATTTTAACTGTTGCAGACTATCATCTGAAAAGGCTGGTGGTAACCCTCTTACTAATAGTAAGCTTGGAGAACTGAATTCCTTTGTTTTCAATACTGCTGCTTCGGATTTGAATTCGGTTGGGCACTTCTATACATGGCATAATCAGAGAATTGATCACCCTATCCACATTAAGTTGGATAGGGTGTTTGTCAATGAGAACTGGATGGCTTCTTTCCCTAACTCTTTCTATATAGTTAGTGATCCTGATATCTCTGATCACTGCCCAATTATCATTAATATGGACCATTGCTCTAGCAAAAGCAACAGATTCTTGTTCAAGAACTACTGGATCAAACTTCCTGAGTTTTGGATTGAGGTGCTTAAAATTTTTTCTTTTCCTTCTTCGGGTAGCCCAATTTGTGACCATTATCATAAGCTTAAAAGCTTAAAAATGTTCTGAAAAAGAGAATTTGGAACTCCTCTAACTCTCTTAAGGAGGAATTACACAGACTTACTTTGATCCAAACTGACATTTTTTCTCAGTTGCAGCAGGACCCTCTAAGCCATTCTTTTAATTCTCAACTTCATTATGTCAACTCTATGCTTTGTGATCTCAAAGATAGATTAGTGAATTGGGCTACTCAAAGAAGCAAAACTAAATGGTTGAAGGCTGGGGAAGACGATCTCAAGTTCTTATATGCTAATATTAATATTAGGCATAATTTTAATCAGATCAGAGGGGTGGTCTTGGATGGCTCTCTGCATACTTCCCAAACTGATATCAACTCTTCTTTTATCAACTATTTTCAAGGGCTTTATAATTCTCCCCATCCAATTGGAACTTATGCCATCCCCACTGGTTTTACGGTGCCGGCTGAAATGTATAATGGTATGACCTTCTCGTCTGAGGAGATAAAAGAGGTTATTTTTTCCTCTAACCCAAATGCTGCTCCGGGACCTGATGGTATAACCTTTGAGTTTTATAAAGCCTCCTGAAACTTTTTAGGGAATCATATTTGTAAGGCCGTCCAATCCTTTTTTTCTACTGGTTTTTTACCTAAGCAAGCTAAGAACACGGTTATTGCTCTTATTCCTAAACATCCTCATGCTTCTACTGTCAATGATTACATACCTATTTCTTTATGTAATATTTTTTACAAAATTATCGCATAACTTCTTGCTGCTAGACTCAAGTCTATCATGCCCTCTATTATTCATCCTGCTCAAGCTGGGTTCATCAAAAGCAGAATTATCACTGATAATATTATTTTGGCTAAAGAAATTATGGGTCTCTTCAACACCAAAAATAGGGAAAAGTTCTTCTGTGCTAAGTTCGATATTACCAAGGCTTTTGACTCTGTTTCTAGGCAATTTTTTTTAGACCGTATGCTTGCCAAAGGCTTTCCTCCAATTTTTATTTCTTGGATAAAATCTTGTATCTCTGATGTTCATTTTTCAGTTGCTATTAATGGATCTCTTGAAGGGTTTTTCAGCTCCACCTCTGGTCTTAGACAGGGGTGCCCACTCTCCTCTTACCTCTTCACTATTGTCATGGATGGTCTATCTGAATGTTTTGAAGAAGCTAAAAGATTTAATCATTTCTCAGGCATATCTTTGGGTAATCTTGCTATTACTCATTTATTATACGCTGATGATCTTCTTGTTTTCTCCAAAGCCAACTTGGAGGAGGCCGACCACCTTAAATCTATTCTTCAGAGATTTGCTGATTCTGCTGGCCTTAATATAAATCCTGCTAAATCCTCCATCCTCTTTTCCAAGAACTGCCAACTCAGTCAGGCTATTTCTGACCTTCTTAATATCCCTCTTACTGATAGTCCCCTGAAATATTTGGGGCTACCTATTTTCTACAAAAGGATCTCTCAGATTGATTTCCAACCGCTTATTATGAAGGTTACTAAGGCTTTAGAGGGTTGGAAGGTGAAAATGCTCTCTTTTGGAGGTAGAGTTCAATACATGCGCTATTTTATTTTTAATACTATAGCATATTGGATCAGAGGTTCTATTTTACCTAAGTCCTGCTTAAAAATCCTTAACAAACTATGCTCTAGATTCTTATATGGTAGAGACATTATGAGCAGAAAGTTACATCTCATTGCTTGGAAAGATATTTTCCTACCTAAAGCTAATGGTGGACTGGGGTTACCTTCTCTTGACTCTTTAATTTTCAACTTCAGCTGCTCCATGATTTGGAGATTCTTACATGGCAAAGGTTTACTGTTTTCGAGCTGGAAAAACATTTGTATCTCCTTATGGTCTCCTATTCCAAAATTTTGTTCTTCTTACTGGAAACATATAAGTAAGGTTGCTCTCCTCATTAAACATTGTTTAAACCTGAGGATTAATCCAAATTGCAATTTTTCTATTTGTTGGGATCCTTGGTTCTTTGGAAAGTCTCTTATGGAGTTGAGAAACATGGATGCTGATTGTATTTGGATGGAGGATTTTAAAAAAGCCGGTACTACCGAGATTATAAGGAATGGTCAATGGGTGCTGCCTTTTACTTGGCCGGTTTACATTAAGAATCAGATTCTTTCTGTGCCTATCTCTGATACGAATCCTTCTTGTCTGTGGCTAAATTCTGGGATTGTTTCCAACAAGATTTTTTCTAAAGAATTCTTTAAACATTACCCTGTGATGAATTGGCACCACTTTATATGGAACAAACACTACTCCATCCGTTTTTCCTCTTTTGGCTGGTTGGCTTTTAAAAATGGGTTAAAAACGGCTGATAACCTCATTCAGCGTGGCATTCAGGTTAACCCTGGATGTTGCTTTTGTCATGACTGTAGAGATTCTACCTCACACCTTTTCTTTGAGTGTGATTTTTCATTTAAGATTTTGAACAGGCTTATTCCTCAAACTCAAACTCTTTTAATGCGGCCTAACCTGAATCAGATTTTTGATTTTATGGAGGACATTGCTGATTCTCAAATCATGTTGCATTTTTACTGTTTGCTGGTTAACACCATTATATATTATATTTGGAGAGCTCGGAATGACCGTATTTTTGGCAACTTGGTTGAATGTTTCACTATTGTGAGCATAAGATTAAAAAAGCTATGAAAGTAAAGTTGGAAACTTGGAAAAATGGAAGCAGTCTTAAACATCTGTTGGCTTGATGACTGGGAGATTTCTGGTTTTCTCTGTTTGTGTCTCCCTGGTTGCTGTTGGAGAGATTCCAGCTTTTGGTATCCTTATTATCTCTTAACTGTTTTTAAACTAGTCTCTGCTTGGACTGGTTTTATGCTGGACGGTTTGCTTACTGGAACGTCTCCTTCTGTCTACATCTGCTGCTGGGCCCAGTTTATTTCTTGGCAGAGCTATGCTGCTTCATACCATTTTTTGCAGGACGATGATGACCACTGCAGCATAACCCCTTGGAGGGCCAGCCTTGGCAATCAGGGGTTATACATTCATAGCCTGCACGACTCGAGATATTCGTTACAGATTTTGCCTGAGTCCTGAACTTTTTTGTATACCACAGTTTTTATTTTATTCTGGTTGTAATGGGTGGTATAGGTTTTTCTTTTCTGTATTTTGCTTCTAGCCTCCCGTTTTTGTCTTTGGGATTGGCTATTTTTACTTTATTTGTAATTTCCTATTTTTAATAGATGGGCTTATGCCCCAAATTTCCCCAAAAAAAAGGCTCAATTTTGATAGGGTCATGGGGAGGATCATTTTTCCCTTCAAGATTTCTGAGCTGCCGTGTCAAAGTTGCATAATCAAAATCAAGACTTTGCTACATGGCCTCCGATGGCTCCCAACCAATTTTCGTTTGCTCTATAATCCGAGCAAGAAAGCAGAAAATGTCCGACCTCTACCGTAACGCCGATCAAGTCAAGTTCTACGCCTCGACCCGCCCGACCTACCCACCTGAGCTCTTCCACTTTGTCGCCTCAAAAGCTCCGAGCCGCCAACTTGCCTGGGACGCCGGCACGGGGAGCGGACAAGCAGCCGTTTCTCTCTCCTCTCTCTTCGACTCCGTCGTCGCAACCGACTCCAGCCCTGAGCAGATCTCCCAAGCACCAACCCACCATTCGAACATCCGCTTCGTCGTCACACCGCCTTCGCTTTCCCTCGCCGATCTCCACCGCCTCGTGGCACCACCTGGCTCCGTCGACCTCATAACCGTCGCTACGGCTCTGCACTGGTTTGATATCCCGGCCTTCTTCGAACAGGCACGATCGGTCCTCCGCCGCCCCGGAGGAGTGTTAGCCGCGTGGTGCTATGACAGTATCGTGCTCTGCGACGGGGGAAGGGTGGAGGAAATCTATCGGAGATTGATGGAAGCGACGTGGCCGTACGTGGTTGAGGATATCAGGGCGATTGCTCATGGGGGATATGCCGGGGTGGAGTTTCCGTTCGAGGCGGTGGAAGGGGTGGAGGAAGGGACGGCACCGGTGAGAAGATTTGCTGTGGAGAAGGAGATGGGGGTGGAGGGACTGATTTCTTTCTTGAAGTCTGGGACGGGGTATCAGAGGGCGAGAGCGGCGGGGGTGGAGTTGGTTACGGAGGAGGTGTTAGATGAGATGAAGAAGGCTTGTGAGGAGGATGGAGAGGAGGTAAAGAAGGTGAAGTTTCCGATTAGCCTTCGAATTGGAAGGATGGGATCGAGATAGCCAGTATAGTAATTAAGCCAGAGATATTGGGGATTCATGGATCTGCGAGGAGATGAGAGATTTAACATATTTTTCTTCAGTTTTGCTGGGGAATTCTTCGTTGTCCTGTGCAGTTCATAGCTCCTGTGTTTTAAGTTTGTGTTTAGCGTGTAGTTAATACGTGTTTTTATGGTGGTTTTGATTGCAAATTTTGCAATTCATCCGCTTCCTTCATGTTGCAGTGGTGCTCTGGAGGGTAATAAATTTGCTGTTATGGCTGTTAAGGTCCATTTGATGATGTTCAGGTTGACCTTCACTGAGTGGAAAAATTATTTTGTTCGGATGTTGAACGTTGTCTGAAGTTTAATTAGAATGTGCATCGTCATCCTTTTACTGTGTACCATGGCTCGGTACTATTCGGTACCGTGGCTCGGTACTATTCGGTACCGTGGCTCGGTATCGCTGACCTAGCTGCACCTAATTCACCTCCGGACATAGAACTATGTTCGATCTCTACACAGAATAATTTCTCCACCAAGTGGTGGGGTGTTTTATAATTTCTTTGTAAAGTATATTACTGCTAGTCATCGCCGTCGTCATTTGAATGTCATAATCCAACTAATATCATCTGATAATCATCATCTAACCATCACCAACTGGCTATTATGGTCCATTTTGTTATCATCTAACGACCATTATCCAATTATTACTGCTTGGTTATTGTCATCCCGCCATCATTATTCGACCATTGTTGTCCAACTAGTATTATCTAAATGCTATTATATCGCTACATTACTTCTCCCACAATATTTATTACAACTATAGTATAACAATCAAGTACTCCTAATATTTCAATATTGTCTTTTTTTAGTTCTGGAGAATAATAGATTTAAATTTTTATAAGTTCAAGTATATAGTAAATTCAATTAGGCTAGGCCATATAATTTTTTTCTTTTATTGAGTTTTCACATTAAAAACTTGATATATCCTTAAAAAATCATCTTGATCGGGCACGAATCTCAAGGCAAAATCAAGCTGAAAACTTCAAAAATTAAATTCGGGATCACCTGAACTCCGATTTCAACAAACTTATAGGCAAACTGAGCGTCTTGGAAATACGAACCCAACGACAACTAATTCAACTCAATCCGAGCCCAAATGAGTACAAATCAATGACCCAAAGCGTTGTTGGAAAGTTTGAACCACAATTTGAGTTACCAAACGGTTTTCAAACATGACGTGCTTATAGTCGAATCGAGCGGCTCGACGAGACAAATCCAACGAGCCCAAGATCACCGAATTCCGACATCATTAAGACCTTCAAATGCCTGATAATTTGTCCATAATCAAAGGATTCAATATCGGCCGTACGTCTATCCGATCACTCCCTATTTACCATTGATTTCTCACCTATTTACAAGCCATGCCACTCCATAATATCTATAAATAGACCCCTCATTTCTCATGAGGGGGGGTCAAGCAAGAAGAAGAGTGATACGGCATCACAAAATTAACTTGATCGGGCACGAATCTCAAGGCAAAAGCTAGTTGGAAACTTCAAAAATTAATTCCGGGAGCACCCGAACTCCGATTTCAGCGAGCTTATAGTCAAAATGAGCGTCTCGGAAATACAAACCCAACAACACCAAGATCAACCCAATCCGAGCCCAAATGAGTCCGAATCATGGGTTCAAAGCGCTGTTGGAAGATTCAAACAGCAATTTGAGTTACCAAACGATCTCTGATTTTGACGAGCTTATACTCGAATCGAACGGCTTGACGAGACGAATCCAACGAGCCCAAGATCATCGAATTCTGACATCATTAAGGCCTTCAAATGTCCAACGAACGGTGCATGAACTTATAGATTTTATATTTAAATATTATTAGCAGTATTAAAATTTAAAATAAATAAAAATATATATCAAAGTTAATAAATAAGACATTAAATTAATAATTAACTAAAATAAGTTATTAAATCAATATATAATTAATTAGTAATTTAACAACTTATTTTAATTATTTAATTAAGATAAGCTATTAAATTAATAATTTATTAAAATAAGCTATTAAGTTAATAATTAATTAAAATAAATTATTAAATTAATAATTAAAAAAATGAGCTATAAAATTATTAATTATTTATATCACAAAATTTTATTTTTCAGAAATTATTAAAATGCGCCGGAAAATCCATTGGAAACAAATCCATCGGGAATCCGCCGGAAAGACCGTCGGAAAATCTGCAAAAGAAAAGTCGAAAATATTCCATTGTAATCTGTCGGAAATCAGTCCGTCAGAAAGCCACCGAAAATTCCACCAGTAATAGGCTATTTTCCTGTAATGTACAAGTGAATACTTAAAACATAGCAACATAGTTAAATATTGACAGAAGTCTTGCAGTAGTTATGATAATTGCTGATGGCTATCTTTGGCGAAGATAGTTGAAAAATATAATAGAGTTATTTAGTTATCTTAGCTCTTGAACTTCCCTTATGTAGAAAATGAAGTCATATTTATAAACATTTTAGTAAATTTGGCCAGAATCCAAAGCAGACTATCGCACTGTTCATATTGATTTCATTAATTATATATTATTTATCAAATATTTGAACATCTTAATGATAACAGAATTGAGTGATCTTGGGCTTGTTAGATTCTTTTCATCGAGTCACTCAATTTGATTATTATCATGCTATAATTAGATGTTATTGAGTTCATCAATCTATTTTCATATGTTTCTAAATATAGTCGAATGCATTATTTGAACTTATTTGAAGTAGAATTTGATCATTTGTAGTGTCAATAAGTTCATCTCGTTGAAAAATTCAATTCCAATGTAAGTTTGCTAAATCAAAGCTCGAATAACCCTAAATTTAATTCAAAAAAATTTCAATTCAAATATACCTCTAGATTCACACATATTATATGAATTTTCATTAGTCTTATCAAAACTAATGCAATTTTATTTTATATGTTATTTAAATATCATACGTCAAAATTTTAAGCCTATATTATTGATATATCATCAAAAGAATTATATTGATCAAGCACGAATCTCGAGGCAAAATCAAGTTGGAAAGTTCTGAAATTAAATATGGGACTATTCGAACTCCGATTTTAGCAAACTTACAATTGAACTGAACGTCTCGAAATACAAACCCAACGACACCAAATTTGACTCAATCCAAACCCAAATGGGTTAAGATCGAAGACCTTAAATACATTTAAAAAGTTCAAGCCATAAATTGAATGAATAAACGATTTCCAAACGTTACATGCTTATAATTGAATCAAGCGGCTCGACGAGAAGAATCTTATGAGCCCAAGATCGCCGAATTTTGATATCATTAAGAAATTCAAATGCCAAGTAAACGATCTATGATCAAGGGAATATTTATTAGTCATGTCACTCTAAAAAAATCATAAATAGACCCCTAATTTCTTATGGGAAGGAACCCAAGCAAAGAAGAGAATGGAGAGAGAGAAACTAGAGTTATCTTGCTACCACTCCTCCTCGACCACCACCAGACTTCCACCAGCCCATATATTCACTCCTGACTTCCGCCCGACCACCAACTTGCATCAGACTTCCTCTTGGTCACCAACTGACACTAGACTTCCGCCAAACCACTGACTGACGTCAGACTTCTACTATGTCACCGACTGACACCGAACTTCTGCTCGACCACTGAATGAAGTCGGACTTCCGCCCGGCCACCAATTGACACCGAACTTCTACCCAACCATCAATCGACGCCATATTTCCGCCCGACCACCAAATGTCGTCGGATTTACGTGTGATCTCTATTTGTCACTAAATTTGAACATTTCAACCCAACGACTGACTTATAATCTAATCATTCTCAATTTCAAGGATGAATTAATCATTTGTAATCTATTCAAATACTATTTCAATTATTTTAACTAGGCGTGGCCCCGTAGTTTTTTCTTTTTTTCAAGATTTTTCACTTAAAAAATCTTATGTCTGAATTCTCTATTTGTGTGCTGAGACAAAAATTCTAACTCTATCGCTGCGTCATATTCTAGCCCACAACAATGATAACAAATTTATTAGATAACTTTTTCAAATTTAGAATATTACCGTCAATTTCTGTAAATAAATTATTTTTAACTCTATCTATGCAAATGATGATAAGTTAGCAACTTTTAATTATTTATTTTTGAACTGCGTGCGTTTTTTATTTTTTTATTTTGCCATCTTTTTAGAATATTACCGTCAATTTTGTATGCTGATATTTGGTTGCATCCAGAACCTCCTGCCTGAAAGCAAAATGAATGCATAAACGGAGTTAAAAGAAATCAAGAAAAGCTTAAAAAAGGAAAAAAAGAAAAAAAGAAAAATGGCCGATCTCTACCGTAACGCCGATCAAACCAAGTTCTACGCCTCGATTCGTCCTAACTACCCGCCTGAGCTCTTCGACTTCGTCGCCTCCAAAGCTCCGAGTCGGCGCCTCGCGTGGGACGCCGGCACGGGGAGCGGCCAAGCCGCTCTCTCTCTGTCCTCCCTCTTTGACTCCGTTATCGCAACCGACTCCAGCCCTGAGCAGATTTCCCATGCCCCAACCCACCTCTCCAACATCCGCTTCGTCATCACACCGCCCTCGCTTCCCCTCGCCGATCTCCACCGCCTCGTCGCCCCACCTGCCTCCGTCGACCTCATAACCGTTGCCACGGCGTTGCACTGGTTCGACATCCCGGCTTTCTTCGAACAGGCCCGCTCGGTCCTCCGCCGCCCTGGCGGAGTGTTAGCCGCGTGGTGCTACGGCTACCGTATATTCGTCGACGGGGGGAGGGTCGACGAGATATATAGGCGGTTGGGCGAGGTAATGTGGAGTTACATTAGTAAGGATATCAGGGTGTTGGTTGAGGAAGGTTATGAAGGGTTGGAGTTTCCTTTCGAGGAAGTGGAGGGGCTTGAGGGGGGAACGGGGCCGGTGAGGGGATTTGTAGCGGAGAGAGCGATGGGGGTGGAGGGATTGATTGCTCTCACGAAGACTTGGGCGGGGTATCAGAAGGCGAGGGAGGCTGGGGTGGAGGTGCTTACGGAGGAGGTGGTGGATGAGTTGAAGATGGCTTGGGATGAAGATGGAGAGGAGGTAAAGAAGGTGAAATTTCCGATTAGTCTTCGAATTGGAAGGATGGGATCGAGCTTGCCGGCATAGTAATTCAGCCAGATATTGGGGATTCATGGATGGAGAAGGAGGTAAGAGATTTAACATATTTAGTATTTACCTTGTTTTGTGATGAATTCTTCGTTGTCCGGCTCTCTGCATTTGCTTACTACTCTGATTTTAGTTTGTGTTTAGAGGATAATTAAGGCGTGTTTTATGGTAATTTTGCTTGCAGATTTTGCATTTCTTAGGTCCTAATAAATTCGCTGTTGAGTTTTGGAGACCAATTGGCGGTGACTTGGATAAGAATATTTATAATTTAAAAATAAAAATTTTGGTTTCTCTTAACATGAATAATTAGCACTGTGTCTGTATCGACATCATCAAAAGCGCAGAAAAAATTTGAAGGTTTCAGTTGTTTATCATTTAAGGATTGCAACACAACTACTGTTATTTTTGGGTTGCATGCACCGCCGAAGTTTGCTGGCTTTGGTAGTGGCATGTTGAATCTGGATAAAGCGGCGAGACATTTTGGTTTTGGCTGGACGATTTTTTTATTGTTTTTTAAAATAAAATTTTAAGTAAAAAATTAAAAAAATTATATTAAAATGTTGTTTTAAGAAGCAATAAAAAAGTCGTCTCAAAAGAAGACTTTGTCAATTTAACCTCTAGATATTCTCCTTGAAATGATTGCATGCTTCATCATTGTTCCGTCCATGAACATTCGCGACGGTAGAGAAATATATAGTTTAACGTCTTAACATTGTACAAAGATCTAGCACACAAGCAGATGAATGAGATAATGTAGTGCTCATAAAAGACACTAGAGTTTTTACTTGGAAACCCCTGAAAAGGGGGGAAAATCACGGGGTTTGGTCCAGTTTAAATGAATCCACTAGTATTTGTAGTCGATTACAAATGTGGCCATTCCTTGGGAGAAGGCATTGGCTTGATTTCACAAATGTACATCATATAGAGCGCATTACATGATTGAAATTGCATTAATCAACATAGACATGTTTGTTTAGTCAGCAGTACCATAGTCGATAGGATAAAGGTCTGGAAGATCGTAGTAGGCGATAGAGGTCGGAAGGATCGTAGTCGGTAGGAGACATGGGTCAGAAAGACCGTTGTCTGGCGAGGGAGGTCGGAAGGGCCATAGTAGGGAGAAGACCAGGGTCAGAAAGACCATTGTCTGATGATGGAGCTCGGAAGGACCGTAGCAGGAAATGGAGTTCAGAAGGACTTAGTCAGCAGGAGACTGGAGTTTGAAAGACTGTTGTTTGGCAAGGGAGGTTGGAAGGATTGTACTTGGTAGCCTTGTTAAGAACCAAGTTGATCGCGAGAGGAGGTCCAATGGCGGTCAGCGGTCGGGCGGTGGTCCGACGAAGGTCGGGCTAAAATCCGACAGCGGTCGTTGGCCAAGCGATGGTTGAAGAACGTCGGGCTAAAGTCCGACGACAGTCGATTGCTGGGCAGAAGTCCAGCGGTGGCTGGGTGGAAGTTCGGCGACAATCAGCAGCATGGTGGAAGTACGGCGGCGGTCGGCGACCGGGCTATGGTCCGACGACGGTAGTCGGCCAGGCCAAGTTCCAGCGGTGGCCGGCGGTCGGGCTGTGGTCCGACATTGGTTGGGCAGAAGTCCAGCGGCGGTCGATGGCCGGATTGAAGCCCGATGATGGTCGGCAGCTGGGTGGAAGTCCGACAATGGTCGGCAGCCGGGTGGTGGTCAGACGAAGGTCAGGCTGAAGTCCGACGGTAGCCGGGTGGATGTCCGGCGACGATTAACAACATGGTGGAAGTCCTGCAGCGGTTGGCGGTCGGGCTGTGGTTTCACTGCGGTAGTCGTCCAGGCGAAGTTTCGGCAGCGGTTGGCGGCCGTGCTGTGGTCCGACAATGATCGGGCAAAAGTTTGGCGGTGGTCAATGGCCTTGCAAAATTCCAGCGGCGGTCGATGGCCGGGTGGAAGTACGGCGACAGTCGGTAGCCAGGTGGAAGTTTGGCGGCGACCGGCGTCCAGGTGGTGGTCCGACGAAGGTCAGTCTAAAGTCCGACAGTGGTCGTTGGCCAAGAGAATGTCCAGCGGTGGTCGACGACGAGGCGAAGGAGGCGTTAGAGCTCTTGAAGCTTCAGAGCTCCCTCCCATCTCTAGCAAAAGTTCCCTTCATGTAGAGAGTGAGGGTCTATTTATAGATTTTCATGAGTGGCGCACCCCGTAAATTTAGAGAAGATCATGGGCAGATTCAGAGTGCTCCATCAGATGGCTCATATTAATTCCCTCGACTGTAGGGAGTTTTTCAACGGTTTAAGTGCCTTAAGGATGTCAGAATTCATTGATCTTTGGTTTGTTGGATTCGTCTCGCCGAGCCGCTCGATTTGACTATAAGCATGCCATATTTTTATATCATTTTATCATCCAAATAATACTTTGACCCTTCCAAATGTGGTCCGAGCCGCCGATTCGGACCCATTTGGGCTTGGGTTGGACCAATGTTTGTGTTGTTTGGTTCGTCTCTTTGAGATGTTCAGTTTGACTATAAATTTGCTGAAATTGGAATTTAGATGATCCCAAATTTAATTTTGAAAGTTTCGAACTTGAATTTGCCTAGAGATTCGTGCTCGATCAAAGCAATTTTTTAGGACGTATCAATCATCAAGAATTATAATTTTAAGAAGAATGAAATGATGTTCTAAGGTTTTCATTTACGGTAGAAGATCATCATCTTCATCAAGAATTATAATTTTTCATTGAAAATTTCATAATTAAACCAAACATTATCAAATTTATTGTAATTGTACCCAAAACTTTAAACCTAAGCTGGATTTAATATTTAAGGTTTTGTTTGTGACTATTTTTTAATTATTTTTAAAGTAATTTTTATCTCAAAATTTTTTGAGCTAAAATTTTTTATACTAAAAAATTGTTTTTGAAAATAATTAAAAAAAGTCCCAAACAAAGCTTAATACTCTTATGATTCATATTAATACTTCATACTTCAAATTATACTTTATAAATTATGTAATATTAATTTAAAATAATATTAATAAACGACCTAATTGTGGCGTGATCGCTTATTAATTCAATACAATTAACATCGGTTTGAGCCTACCTTCACTCGAATCATCATATCTTGAGCTAACTCATTCATAATAAAATAAAAAAATTTGTTAGGAATATTAAAATCTAAGATTAATTTTTAAAATGTAATGCCTCTTCCTCTCACTAAGGCTTTGTTTGGGAATGACTTTCTTAGTGCTTCATAGAGTAACTTTTCACTATAAAAATTAAAATTTTTATTCTATAAAGCTACATTAAGAAGTAGAAAGAAAACTGTCCCAAACGAAGCCTGCAACTTTCTTATTAACTGTTGTTTTGTACAACTTTTTCTTAAAATAGAAAATTTTGTATTATAAAGCTATTTTAGAAAGCAGCAGGAAAATTGTCCCAAACAAAGCCTAAGTATTCATTTCGGATGGTTTTCTTAATGCTTCTTAAAGCAACTTTCTAGTACAAAAATTAAAAATTTGTATTAAAAATTTATTTTAAGAAATAGTAAGAAAGTTGTTCCAAATGAAGCCTAAATCTTTCTATCTTTTTTTTTTTTTCTTTTCCATGTATTTGATCCTCCATCTTAAGAATGATATATGATACAATTTTTTTTATGATGATGGTTATAAAAGTGTTATAGAGAAAGTAATTTTTTTTAAATTGTTGTAGAAAGTAGGATCCTAGCATAAAAATTTCTTAAAATTTAAAATATCATGTAATATTAATTTTCATATGAATTTTAAAATTTTTAAAATGAGTTTTAAATTTTTTTTAATATATATTAAGATTAATATAATTTGAAATATTATGTAATATTAATTTTAATATGAATTTCAAAATTTTTAAAATTATTATAATATATTTTACGTTAAAATGTTTTTAATACTTTTTTAATCTTTGAAATCATTCTCTTACGTCGGTACATGGAGGAGCCCACGTCATCTAGTCTTGTCAACATTCGGACCCTTAACTCAGCTAGGCCCGCTAGGTGGTGGGCCTATCCTAACGCCTATCTTTATGGGTAATGACAAACCGTTGATTGGCCCCCAATTTAATAAGTTTGCCCCGAGGAACAGCCTTTTTTTTTTTTCTAAGGATGAATTGTTGTTCACTGCTTAACATTTTTTTTTTTTTTGAGATATTTAGATTAACTAAGATAAAATCATATACATAAGGTTCAAACATAAAATCTTTTAGTTGATAGTAAAAACTTACAACTAACAGATCAAGATGAACTGCATCACTACTTAAAGTTGATTAAAAGTTGTTAGTTATTTATTTGACTAATTTTATTTATCAGATAAAATAATAATTTATAAGTTATTTCAAATTTCGAAATCAAGAATATGTCAAAATATTCCTTTCCAAACTTTATTCATTCCACTAACTATAAGAAGTTTGTTCTCTTTCTCAACATTATTTCCATTGTTGATGTCCTTAGCATTATTGTCATAGTTGATGTTTTTTCTTACCACCATTGTTGCCTTCATGGTCTCCTCCACCATCGTCGCCATTAATGTCGTTAACATCTTCATCTCAACCATTGATGTCTTCATTGTTGCTGTCATATTATAGCGAGATTGATGCTATAATTATTAAAATGTTGTTGTGAGTCGAATTATTTAGAAGTCTTGGTTAAAGGAGATTGTTGTCTCTCCAAGGTCATTAATATACAACCGTCAATGTTATCATCATTATTTTTTTATTAATGTTTATTTATGATTTATGACATGTTTGATATTGTAAATAAATAAACTAATATAAAGTATACATTATACTAAGACGTTCTCTTTGGTTTTCATAGATGGAATTGAAATAGTTCTTTGGCATGTTGAGTGAATTTAATTATAATTATTTGAAGACTTGTTGCGAGCTAGTATATTCGTGACGGTAGAGTGAAATAATTTTTCGTCCTAGTAATGCATAGCTATCCAGAACACAAACATGTAGTTGGAGAGAGTTGAGAAACACTGGAAACTTTTTATGTGGAAAATCCAAAAAAGGAAAAACCACGGGGGTTTTACTCAAATGAGAAGATTCTACTAAATTTAAGTGACCCCTTAACTTAGAGGAGGTGCAATTACAGTAGTTTGGAGAGTCGGTCAGACTCCGTATAGATACTCGAGAGTTTATAATGACCGCGATCTGGTTAGAAGTTTGGTGGCAGTAGCTGGGGGAAGACCAAGTTGAGATCAGTGTTAAGTGTAAATTGTATAATGTTTATTGTATTTAAATTAGTGAAAATGTATTGCTGTAGTTATATTTGTCTGGAAAATATACAAGAGAAAGCAAAATTTCACAGGTGCTGAACGAGTGCTGCAGTGCCCACAAATTTAGCACCGTAGCATGGCTATTAAAAGCATCCCAGTGCCAATTTTTAACATTACAGTGCCTACCTCTCGGGAATTTAAGAAGAAGTCAGCACCCTGGAAAAGCCAAGCTTAGTGTGAAGTACCTCATAGCGTCGTTGTGTTAGAAATCAACACTATAGTTTTGTAGTCTCAGTAAATTGAGCGTTGGAGTGTCGATCATCAAAACGTCGCAGCACCGGATAGCGCTGCTACGGTAATGAGGCATGGTTGGAGATCTAACATATTTCTTACTGTAAAATTGATAACCCCAAGTGCTCTGATCACTACCCTTTGTTTACCTTCATTGTTCACTCTTCCTTGGCCCATCATCATTTCTAGTTCAAAAACTACTAGACCACTACTCCCCAATTTTAACTCCTCGTCATCTCTTCCTCGTCTGAACATCAGTCTTCTTACCCTATAAATTCCCTTTACTTGAAGCTCAAAAAACAAAAAATTGATACCAAGGCTAAAAAAGGTAGTCTTCAATAGTCTCAAATATGCAATTCAAGATTTAGAAAACTAGAAAATGTATTTCTTAGAGCTTCTTAATGCAGATCCTTCTAATGACGTTTTGGCCTCTTTGGTTAAATTCACTGTCGATAATCTTGTAAATTCCTATGCGACTCTTTATTCTTGGATTGCTCAGAGGTGTAAAATAAATTAGTTGTTTAAAGAGGAAGATGACCTGAAATTTTTGTATGAAAAAAATGAAAGGAGAACTCTAACTTTATTAGAGAAATCTCTACTAATTATGACACTTTCATCAATCATGCAGATATTGCTAAAGCTATCATTAGTCATTATAAGAACATATCGAATGTGCCACCTCCTAACTCCAATTCCCCTCTCCCCTCAAGTAAGAAAGTCACTACCAATTTGATTCCCCTTCTCACATCTCTTATTTTTGATGCATATATTAAAGAGGTGGTCTTATCTTTCTCCAATAACTCCAGCTTTGAGTAGGATGGTTATTCTTTTAAATTATTCTCTAACACGTGAAAGGTATTTGGCCCTCATGTACGTAAATTCATCCATCACTTTTTTCCCGTAAGAGTTATCTCCCTAAAATTATTAAAACCACAGGGATATCTCTCATTCCCAAATATCTCTAACAGGTTTATTTGTTGGGATAAAGCTTGCATTGAGGACGTTTATTTCTCTAATTACATCAATGGTCATTTGGAGGGCTTCTTTAACTCCTCATCCAAGCTGAGGTAAGGATGCCCCCTCTCTCCTTATATCTTCTGCATTGTGATGGACTCTCTTTCTATTGTTTTAGACAATGTTGCTCTTCATGGCTCCTTTTCTGGTTACAACCGAGGTAACCTATAAATTTCTCTCTTGCTTTATGCATATGACTGACTTGTTTTTGGTAAGACAACTAAACCTAATGTGCAAGCTCTTATGAACATCCTCTCTACTTTTGGTAAGGTTTGTAGCCTTATTATTAATCCTTCAAAAAGCTCAATTTTGTTCTATATGACTTCATCTAGTTTAGATGAATCATGTGCTATGATTAATCTTCCTAGAGTATTTAACTCTTTTCAATTTCTAGGTTAAATTTTCTAATTTTTAAAGTTTAATGGCCAAAGCCTCCTTGCTTGATAAATGGACATGATAAGCTCTCTCTTTGGTTAGACAACTGCAATTGCTAAACTTCACTATCTCTAACATAATTGCTTACTCAATTAAAAGTGATATCTTGCCAGAAACCTGCATAAAACATCTTAACAAGTTTTGTGCTCATTTTCTGTTTCATGGCGGCATCTCTACTAGGAAATCGCAGCTTGTTTCTTGCTGAGATACTTGCGAGTCTATTCCCATTGGGAGTCTAGGTATTCCCTATATTCTTGATCTCAATTTTGCTTATAATTATGCTCTTATCATGTGGGTGCTTACTTTTGGGTCTCTGCTTTTCATATTCTAGAAAATTAAATATATATCCTTTTGAAATAATAGAAATTGCGATACTACTTTATGGTGGAAATCTCTCAAGGTCTCTTGGGAGAAAATAGAGCTTGGTTTATAATTAATAGTTTGGAATGGCTATAATTTCTATTTTATTTGGGATCCCTAGATAAATGGGAAGTCCTTGGTTGATCTGGAAAATTTCTCCTCTATCCTTCATTTGATTAAGTAGGATGTCTCTATTGTTGACTTCATGATTAATGAGGCTTGGAACCTGCCTTCTTTCCTTCATCCGAACATTAAAAGAGTTATTTGTTTTGTCCCTATCTTCCCTGATGATAAAAAATATATATTTTGTGGATATAAAAAGAAAAACTAATGGTAAAATCATTTATATGTTCTCAATATTTAACCTAATCTCCTCCTTGGGGCAAAGATGTTTTGGCACAAGAAGTATGCTATTCGATTCTCTATTTTTAGCTGGCTGGCTATCAATGGGGGCCTTAAGACTGCTGATGCATTAATCAAGTTTAACATTCCGATTGACCCCACTTGTATTCTTTTCAATTCATCCATTAAAAATGTTAGCCACCTCTTCTTTGATTGTGAATTTTTGTTTCAAGTTTTTATTTTTTATTCTTATGAATTTTGGTTCAAAGTTATCTCTATGATCTTTCCCTTCAGCTCTTTATACCTGCTAAGGGCTAATATCAGTCAAATGTTAGATTATATTGAGGGATGTGATCATTTTGCATGGGAATGTTATTAATGGCTATCTTTTGTTGCTTTTTGCTTCTATATATTTAGGGGTGTCAATTTCGGGTCACGGATTGGGTTCAGGTCGAACCCGAAACTGACCCGGCACTATTCGGGTCAACCCGAACCCGACCTGTTTCTGAAAACGGGTCAGTTTTCCTGACCTGAACCCGACCTGCTTCGGGTCCGGGTCAACCCGACACGACCCGAATGACCCATTTCCAACAAAAAAATTGCTAGCTTTCGGGTCAAAAACGGGTCTATCTCCTCTTTTTCGAGTAAAAAATGGGTCTATCTCCTCTTTTTCGGGTAAAAAATGGGTCAAAATCGGGTCAATCTCAGGTTGCCGGGTCAAAATCGGGTCAAAGGGCTAACCCGAACCTGACTCGATTTTTGAAACAGGTCGAAATGTTGAACCCGAACCCGACCCGTTTCGGGTTCGAGTTGACCCGAACCCGAAATTTTCGGGTCGAGTTCGAGTCGGGTTTTCGGGTCGTGTCAAATATTGACACCCTTATATATATTATATTTGGAAGGAATGCAAAGGAAGGGGGTTTGGACAGAATATTCATTGTCTCACTTATGTCACAAGGGAAATTAAGTTGTCTTCTAGTTTAAAAATGTCTCGATCCAACTTATTCGTTCATTCTTCTACTAGATCGTACGACGGGTGTTCACTATGGCTATGGTGTTCATTATGTCTAGGGTGTTCTTCTTTTCGACAGTAATACTGTTCCTATAGTTTTTCCTTTTGCTAAACAATGATGATGGGTTTTGATCTACCCAGCCACAACCCATAGATGGTCTCTACTTCTACTAAGACAACCGAGTGCTTTTGGCTATGGTGCTAGTCCAGTTTCTTCTTGGTGTTATCTTATTTTTCTTCCCTGTTCTACTTTGTTATTTTACAAGTTTAATTTTTCTCTAATTTGCTCTTTTTTGCACAGTATTCCTACTTTTTTTTTGTTCAACTTCTCTTAATTTGTCACCTGTGGATCTCTTATAATTTTTTTTACCAATGAAAATAGGATAGTCATTCAATTTTCTCAAAAACAAGAAATTTATTATGGCCATTTGAAACGAGAAATTATTCTGTGGAGTTCAAACGTAGCTCTGTGTCCGGACTCCAATAAAATTGCGACATCTAAATTGTAAACATGGATATTCATTTCTATTTCGTATTTTTGTTTTTTTTTCTTGCCAGCCCGTTCGACCCATCCCAGAAATTTCCTGTTCAAATTTAGGGTTTAGGATTGATGCTCTTTTTTTAAATGAAATACCTGCCAAAGTTCTATAATTTTTAGGATTTTAACTCAATAAACTTTTCATAGCTACTGAGAAAAAAAAAAGAGAAGAAGCCAATGTAGATGATGACTGGTTTGGAGGAGGATGCTCATTTTTTGAGCAAATGATATGCTCATAGGACGCGGAGTCTGAAAGGTGCTATAAAAACATCTAAGAAGAGGAATAGTTGAAGTTGAGAACTACACGCTGAAGGAATGATAGTTTCTTTTTTGTACACTTAGGGAATATGTCGAGGGTTCGAGGGGGCGACGCTCTTTGGCTGGGTTCGACTTGCCAGGGGTTTATTTTTCTCTTTGTGTGATGGTAATTTTGAAGTTATGTTTGTATTTTGCATATCATGTTTTGTTTTTTTATGTGTTTGATTCATTTCAATAATATAATATTGCATACTTAAATATGCAGCTGATGGAGATGAAGCCTGATTAGTTTTACTCTTTCTATTTGATTCATTTTGATAATTTAATATTGCATTCTTAAATAAAGTCCACTATATACCGTTGTGTACTTGTTATATTGATTGTGATATTAAAATTTTAGCTTATGTCAGTGGACATTTTAATTAAATTGAGTGGGAGGAGATGTCTTGGGTTGCTTGATGCATTTATAGATCTGTGGTACTAGGCCTAAAAAAGGTTGCCTATCATGGATTGGTGTTTTGAGCTATTACAGGTGAACTAAATTAGTTAGATATACATCAGGCTGTTAAGCATTATGGTTTTGTATGCTTCTGATCTTTTAAAAATAAAGAAGTCTTTTGTTTATTCTGATGTTGTCTACTGCTGTGTATCATTGTTGTATAGAGTTGTGTATTACTATGTACCAATGTGTACAATCATATTAATTCTGATGTAAGAAACAATCATGCGTTGGAAGCAATTATTTAATATTGACTGGAATCATAACCCATTTATGGTGCAGATTTACAACATTCCATTTTAAAAATTTGATTAAGAAATACATAGTTATTTAATATTGTTCATTGAAGAATAAAGAATATTTTTTTCTTTCATTTACAAGATATTTTGTTCATTTTGATGATGAATACTATTATGTACTGTTGTTGTGTATCATTATTGTGTACTGCTACTGTATATATTGCTATTGTATGCCTCTGATGTGTATCACTGTGTACCGATGTGTATAAAAAATGTGAGCAAATGAGCATGAATGGCATGAACACAAAAATAAATGAAGCAAAGTCTAAAATTATGTTTTGTTTCATGATTAATTCCTCTGTTCAAGATATTTATGTCTTATTCTTTATCATAAGAGAAAAGTCCAATTTACTGGACAGGTTTTTATGACTATTCCAAACTGTAAAGCTAAAACTATACATAGAAACCAAGGACCTCGGTATCTTCATATTTTAGGGAAAGTTTGAGGATATTTCATGAGTTAACAATTAAAATGCTGGTTTAAATTCATAGCTTAATCCCCAAAAAAGGTCATTAAAGATGTTTTTTTCTCTTGAAGAATAGCAAAATAAAAAATAAAAAATTATGAGAAATACAATGAAGCTAAAAGATTTCTTAAATTAGGTAACTATAAAATTTAAATATATATGATTTTGAAGAAAGACATTTTGAAACTAATGATGATAGAATAAGGAAGACTAACAACAGTGATGACCACTAATATTGAATTGTTATGAACATACTTATTTTTTGTTACAGTCAAACCGCATGAACAAAAATTATTAGGGTCATAGTTATTCGAGCACAGCACCAAACTGGGCATAACTTTTTTATTGCTAGATTTTATAGGGGATGGATAGCAAAATTAATGTGTGATGTAGAATTAAGCTAACAAATGAATATGCATATCTTCTTTTTGATGAAAATTTTAGATTTGTTGAATTAACTTTTGCAAGAAAACCTTTGAACTTTATAGGAAAGCAAGATGTTAGCCACAAAAAGTTCATTGCTATTAACAACACACAACAGTACACAGCGATAGGCAGCATCAAAATAAACAAAAAAAAATCATAGAAGTAAAAGAGAAAAAATGTATAATAATTACATCTGAGAGAATAAATAAACATATACAAATTTATCATTTACGTAAACTTTTATATAGTTGATTTACAGAAGCATGTGTTTTCGTCGCATTCGATATATAAAATTTTGAAGAAAACATTCTAAATAAATGCGTGTGAAATATCACATAAAATACATAAATCATACCTGCCCAGTTTACAAATTCCTCGTTGAAGTATTTAAGCTTGGTTGAGAACTTGTATTATAGAAAGTGAACACAATTTTATTGTATTTGCCTTTACGACAGATTTTTCTATTGAAAAATTAAGCTTAGCAAAACATAAAAACGTATATTGCCTCATAATATACATTGAAAAGAAGTGATTATGTAAGTAAAGTCACCTTAATCTTAAGCTTTTTCTTCTTTTCCAATGGCTCTATAGAGAATGCGAAGTACTCCAAACCAATCTCCATCTTCATCGCCTGTTTCTCTTTTTTTTTTTCCTCAACAACTCTAAAAGTTTTATTCCGTAAAAAATCTAAATATTTGAGAGCTTTCGTGGATTATCTTTTTAAAAATATAAAAAATAAATAGGTTGCTGCGATTTCAAAATTTTTATAGCTGTGCTGAGTAGGGTTGGATCATCGGGTCTTAAGAAATCCACATGTATAATTCAAGTATCACGATTTTATTGGAGTTCAAATATAAAGCTACATCAATACTCAGCATTGAATAATTTCTCCTTTGAAAGATATTCAAGCCAGGTAGCTATTAAATTCTCTGGCATCTTCTTATTGTCAGGGTATCATGACTTAGCCATGGAACCGCATTAGTCCAAACACTAGAAATATCCTTATGATTGCTTTTCCAACATTATTAAAAGAAATTCTTTCAAGAAGAAAATTAGAAGCTGTATGTATTATATCTGTTGCCAATTCAAAGTCCAGAGGAAGCCGACCCTCTAGAAGAAGGAAAAATAGTGCTCGTGGGACCGGATATCATAATCCATCATGCTGCGATCTTCAGAAAGTCACAAGTGCTTCACTCTTGTCCTCTGAAGATGAAATGGTGTCGTAATAATGTTTTCTTCCCTTGAATTTTTTAGCCATAATAATTCTATTTTTAGCTTCATTTGAAACGGCTTTATTATTATTTTTTAAAATAATTTTTTATTATAAAAAATTTTTGAATTTAAAATTTTTATACTAAAAATTTATTTTAAAAAGTAGTACGAAAGCTGTCCCAAATGAAACTTTATCAAACTGTAATGTCTAAATGAATCTCGGGGTACCATCAAAAAAATCAAATAGGTGTAAGATTAAATTTTATTTTTAT